GTAATTTATTCTCGTAAAAGTGTGAAAAACAGCTTCCGAGGAGCTCAATAATCCATCGCGCCAAACGTGAAGCACTAATTTATTTTTTTGCCAAACTTTCTGTCTCATCATTATTTCATTGTGCCCACATTGCACATTCTCATATCTGCGTGCGGATTAAGTAATGCTCCTCGTAAAGTCAATCACCTGACACCCACAGGCAGAAATGAAAGGGAATAATCCCTCCAAATAACACAAACTTCGTCACATCCATGCATAAGAAGCTCAGAGGGAGAAAGAGGGGAGCAGGAGGGTTTTATTCCTCAGAATAACACGATAAAACGTTCTGGTTAAAACCCCTGTTGACGCTTCTTCACTTCGAATGGTTTGATTTCATTCTTTACATCCAGTTTTGCGTTCGAGTTACAAGATGCTCTCAGATATCAGAGGTGCGCTTCTCATCCAGCGCGATTTATTTGTTAAACTTGTGAACGTCTCCTCGAGGTTGTCCAGCCAAACAAGTGGTAAAAAACTAATTAGACAAATTTTACAAAATGTAAATGTCCCTGTCGAGGCGTTCTGCTCCCAGAGCTCCTGCAAGACTTGAAGCACTCAGTGAAGTCCTGTTCTATAAACATGTCAAGCACCGTCCACGATGAGCGCTGAACCTCCTGACCTGTCAAATCTGGTTCTGTTTTTTAAACAAATTTTTTTTTTAGTTTTTGCACAATGTATTTCTTTTTTTCACTTTTTACATTTTTGCACTTTGTATATTTTTATGTTGTATCTGTTTCACATCATATTTTTTTTACCTTTTTGCTTTTTATTTTATTTTATCTTTGCAATCTGTATTTTTTTAATTACTTTATTTTTAGAATTTTGCACACTGGATAATTTTTTTTTACAAAATACGTTTTTTGCACTAAACATTTTTGACATTTTTGCACAATTAATATTTTTTACGTTGCATTTTTTAAAACACATTTGTACAGTGTATATTTTTATATATTTTTGCCCTAAGTTTTTTTTAGTTTTTGCACACTGTACTTTTTTTTTTAAATCGTATATTTTTTTAACATTTTAAAGTTTTTACACATTTTAGCACATCACTGAATAGACTTTCTACCTGTTTGTCTGTTTCCAGTGAACTTTTTCCGTCTGAGTTGACGGCGGTTTGGATCACAGTGTAACCATGGCAGCCGCAGAAACCTCACAGAGGTGCGTGATGCGAGACGTAATTTCTCAAATTTCCTGAGTTACACACATCTGGATGATGGTGGCACAACAAATACTTTGACTGTCGGATTGGAGCCGATAAACGTGATGCAAATCCTCCCCGTCTTCCCCTTTTATCTTTTAGCTGACGTCGCCGCTGCTCAGACGAATCGCTCAATACGAAGTGTAATCATTAAAGAAAATTAAACTCGTTAACAGACAACGATTAACATGAGTAACATGTTTACATTTCTCCCCAAAATCTATACAGCGCCGCGTTAATTGAACGCCTCCTCGCAGCTCCGCGCTTGTAATCGGCGTCTTGTCAAGTGGCACTCGGTTGTGAGCTAATTGCCGCCTCTCAGGAAATGTAAAAATCTAATTGAATGAGTTTAGCAGGGGCTCATTTCACATATTCACTTAAAATCAATCTATCCCCGCGGCTCGAAACTGATGATTTGAAAGAAACTCTTTTGCTAAGTTGACACATGCAAACACACACAAGTTCCCCCGACCGACCACCCACACACACACACACACACACACAAACACTTACACACACACTCACACAAACACTTACACACCACTACTACACTACTACCGCGACTTTATGCACTTTATGTGCCTGTGTTTCATAATAGTCCATTAGTGTGCACTAAAAACACAAATTAGTTGAGATGAAGAAACAGACCCACTGGGGTTCGCAGCTAATATGCAGCAATAAAACACAGGCAGGCTCACACACACTCTCATACAGTGTGTCAGGGAGGAAGTGAAGCTTTGCAGATTTCTATGTTAAACATTATATTTTCTCTTCTTTGTGTTTTACACCTACGTGTGTGTTTATGCATGTGCAGGAGTGTGCACAGTGTGTGTGTCTGTGTGCACCACACAGTGATGGAGGACGGCGCAGAGGAAAATGCAAAATAAAAGAGTAAAAAAAAAAAAAAAAAAAACCCTGACAGGCAGCTTTGACCTTTTGTATCGCTGAGAGACGAAAAGACAGACAGGAGTCGGGGAGAAGAGGCGGGTCGCAGAGGTCATTAATTGCTCTTTTTTCCTCCTCGGAGCGAACAGGACGGATGATTATGCATCTCTTTTTTAAACACGGGCGTCAAGAGCTAAGAAGTGTCATCAGAGTAATTTTGTGATCAAATTGCAGAGGGCTGCGGGGAGAGAGAACAGATAGTCGCTGCACTCCTTGACATTCCCGTCAGACCGAGGCGGAGAAAAGAGGCGCTGCCTGCAGAGAGGCCATCAGAGGAGGTTTCAGCTTCTGTTTCAAAGTCACTGCTGCTGTCTTCCAGCCGAGGTTATCCTGACTGTGGCTGCGTATAACAAAGAAAGCAGATCCACACAGTAACAGTTTAATTAAAGCTACATAAATGAACATCCAAACAAGCGAGCACAATGCCGATTAAAGTCTTTTAGAGTCGTCATTTCATCATTCAGACACAGTTATTTAAGGTCCCCTATGAATTTAAACAGACATATCCACCACAGGGATGGAATTACTAACATTGCACACAAAAAACCACCATAAACGTAAAGTACACAGGCATAAAAACAAGTGTTAAGACTAAAAACGCACCACATCGTGCATGCAGGGATCAAGTTTTCTTTTTTGTCTATGTTTCGAGTCATTTAATTGTTGTATTGTTGTATTCCATTCCCCAGATAATACACACGCCAAGTATATTAAAAGTATTCAAATAAATTTAATGCATATGCTTGACACTAAAATATCCCTGCCGTGCCTTTAAAAAAAAAACTAAATGCATGTCAGTAAATGTATCGTAGACCAGCTGCAGTACCTGGTTGTTCCACCAGGTGGCGCCTCTCACTGTTTACTCCTGTAGAGGCCAGAGGAGGCGTCGCTCAGACTACAGTTGATGTTGGAAGCAGAGAGCATTGTGGGAGTTTAGCAGCAACAGGACCATGACAGAGACTCTGAGGAGGTTCATGACCTCAAACCAGAGTTTGTCAGTTTCAGATGAGATGTGATTTAACAGGAAGTTGTTCTAATATCTCAAAAGTCCGACTTTATCAGCACGTTCTGTTGAAGTTTAATTCAAGTTGGCAAGCAGAGAGTTATGGGGGTTTAGCTAGCAAGGCATGACAAAGACTCCTGTGGTAGTTATTGGCCTCCAGCCAGAGTTCATGATGACCTGTATTGATGAGGACAGTGTTCCTGTAAAACGAGACTCGTTTATGGTCTAAGTTATCTGTTGTATAGTTGCCTGTTGACTTAAACAACAACAACAGCACAGGATGAATATTTATTGGGTTTAATTTCAAGTAATTGGATTTTGGTTGAACTGCAAGGTGGATCGGTGCTTAGCATTGTTGCCTCTCAGCTAGAAGGTCACCAGTTCACGTCCTATAGAGGACACCTGGGATCTTTCTGTGTGGAGTCTCCATGTTCTCCCCGTGCAGCGTGGGTTCTCTCCGGGTTCTTCGGCTTCCTCCCACACAGTCCAGAAACATGTTGAGGTTAATTGGTGATTCTAAATTGTAAAAACAAGGCCTTGATCAGAACATCCCTAGATGCACGTCAGTAAAAGCTAATTAAATCAAAGTCTATGGCTGCAGGGAACAGACCCTTCCACTGTCGGGGCCAAGCATTCGAGGGTTTTCCTTTAATTTGTCACTCTTCTTTATATCTTCACCAGCAGCATCTCAGAAGTCTTTATCATAGACGTCAGGTTTGTTCAGTCATCCACTAAATGTGCTGCTGCTGCTGCTGTCGGCGAGCTTCAAATGTTAAAAAGGACAAAAGATTCCTGCAGAACTGTTTTCATCCATCGCCATCGTTTCACACCGAACGGCTCAGGAATTACCTTTTCTCAGCTTTGACCGTCTCACCAGCCCTGCAGTTGTTTTAATAAAACTTTTCTTTTCTTCTCGGTGTTAAGGCTTTGTGTGTTTTCGGTCCAATCTCCGGCCCTTTCTCCCAGCAGTTAGCTTCCAGCTCCCGAGCGAAGCAACCATGACGGTTTGACAGCTCAATTTTTCTCTGCAGCAAAGAGGTGACGGCCACCTGCCTGCACCCATCGAGCTGTGCTGGTCTCCTGGAGCCACGATTGATCACTGTGCAATGGGGAGCTGGTGGGGAGCCATCTTTTACCCACTGAAGGGGTATTATACTCCACATAATAATAAACTGAGTGGCTTTATCCAACCATGATGCAGTGAGTCGGCAAGCAAACAGCTGCAAAGTGTCATGACCCCCCAGCCCTTGCCTGTCTCCCTCTTTTTCTCCCTCTTCTCCCTCCTGTCTGCCTCTCCCTCTCTGTCCCTCTCCCTCTCTGTCCCTGTGCATCTTGGCTCTAATCAGGACAGTCACCCTCAGCTGCAACTTCGGACTCACCTGCACACTATCACCACTGCTCCTATAAATACTTGGTTCATTCCACCACAAGCCGCCGGATCATAGATTTTACATTTGGACGTTTCTGCCAGTCTCCACTTCGCCTCTCCCTGGATTTCCCTGAGCCTGTCTGCCCCCTCTGTTTTCCCTCCTTAGTGAGCATTCCTGTTTGTGTGAGTTTTCCCGTTTTTTTGTAACTTAGAATCCGTTAGGTTTCCCCCTCCGTTCTTAGCAGGAGTTTTCTCTGGTTTTGTAGTTTTGTCCTTTTTTGAATTCTGTCTATTTGTTTCGTTCTGTTTCCCACTCTGTTTAGTCTACACCCTTGTATTTAGTTTTCAGTTTTGTTTCTGCCTTATTAAAATCCTTTTGCACTGTACCTGCCTGTCAGCCTGATCTGTGTCTGCTCCTGGGTTCCCCGATTGCCCCCCGTGACAGCATGATCCGGCCAAGAATGAACCCAGCAGACACAGAGTCTGGCCTGGACTCATTGCCTGCATCTCCCATAAATCCTTTTGAGGAGGAGGACTCCTATCAATATCTTGACCACATTATTCACTTCTTTGGACTTTGGAAGGAGGCTGATGATCCCTGCCTCAAACAGCTTTTTTTGAAGTTCGCGCTCGATGTGGTTGTAGAAAAACCCTGGCTGTGGGGCTCACTACCAGAGTTCCTCTTTGATTTTATTGGCCCCCCTGGTTCCCAGCCTGCTGGCTCCCTTCCCGCTCCAGAGGTGGCTAGCTTTCAGCCTACAGGCCCTGAGCCCTCTCTCTGCAGTGTGGGTATAGTGAGCCTGCAGCCTGTTGACAACCCAGGACCTGCAGCCCCTTTCTCTGTTAACCAGGAGGTTAACAGACATGTCTCTGCACCACCAACAAACCCCACTACTCCTGCCCCCCCTGATAGTTCTGCTGATGATTGTAAGTCTCCCTTCTGGGGAACCCGCCTGGCCTGTAAAACGCCACCTAGTGAAAAGCGAGGTTTCCGAAGCAGAGGAAGCCGACAGTCAACTCCCATGAGCATCTCGTCTAGTGAGCTGACCTCCTTTTTGTTGGATAGAGCCTTGGGTTTAGACAATTTTGAGGCTTTATCACCCAGTTCTCCAACTGAACATGGCCACTTTGACTCTAAAGAGCCACTTCCTGGAAGACTTTCCAGGAAGAGGCGTGGCTCCAGGCAACGCCAGACCTCGCCGCTCCTCAGCGCCGCAGAGGTCCCAACGCGTCCGTCACACCGGTCCTGTATTCTGGCCATTCCTGGGCGGGTCGACGCCGCCTCCGATCCTGTCCGTGTCTCCGAGCGGGTCGACGCCGCCGTCTCTACCGATGCTGTTCCCGAGCGGGTCGACGCCGTCTCTACCGGCTCGAGAAGCTGGGACATCCTTGACCCAAATCAAGCTCTTCCTGGCGAGCAGACTGCCCCAGCTTCTCATGCTTCTGAGCCCCAGCCTACTTTGGCATCCTCTGCTCCAGAGGGGCTCCGCCGTCGCTGGCTCCCGGCCCGAGTCCAGCCCCTCACAGGGGCTCCACCGTCGCCTGCTCTCGGCCAGAGTCCGGCCCCTCACAGGGGCTCCGACGTTGCCGTCTCCCGGCCCGAGTCCGCCCCCTCACAAGGGCTCCGCCGTCGCCGGCTCCCGGCCCGAGTCCGGCCCCTGAGGGGGGCTCCGACGTCGCCTTCTCCCGGACCGAGTCAGGCCCCTCACAGGAGCTCCGCCGTCGCCGGCTCCCGGCCCTTCAGAGGGGCTCCGCCGTCGCCGGCTCCCGGCCCAAGTCCGGCCCC